TAGTAAATAAAATTTTCCTATGCTTTTTATTTTTAGCTATGTCATCCTTTGCATTTAAAAGAGTTTTATAACCTAAGCTTATAATAAACTGATAAACGTAAGTTAATATTTCCCTGAGTTCTGTGAACCTCTCTAGTGAGTTAATCAAACCCAACGAGGGAGTCGTGGGAACCTCCAATTTATAGGCGGTTGGTCAGAAACACAGGTAACAACCTGGACCTGAGTTTGGCATCCAAAGTGGGGGAGGCACTGTGAGACTGAGCGCTCAACCTCTGGGATCTGACACCAAGAACTGAGTTAAATTTGTAAGACATCCAGTCATTGTTCACTGAGAATTAAATTGCTTCTGTTGGAAAAAGCACATTGTAGATGGTTAAAAAAAATTCATCCATATCCTTCTGGATGAAATGAACCAGTTAAATCAATATTTAAAGGGTTGCTTCCAGGTTACATGCATTTCAATGGAAACCTTATACTTTACCTAGAATGCCAAATCGTTAAAATAGGCAACTCTAGGTATTTACATAAAAGTGGCACTTATTTTTGCCTTTTAACTTTTCAGCAATAGAAAATTCTTTTATACTAAAGACCACTAAGAGGAATGGGGTTGTTTCTTGGCACCAGAGGGGATGTGGTGGCTACGGGGAAAAGAAATGGGAACTTCTATCTAGCTCTCTGTCTATTTTAAAATCTTATCCTTTTCTAATTTTGTGTATAGTTTATTGTAATATATCAGCACTCTGATGAGATACATATATATAATTTATAATAAATGTTAGGCATGCATACTCAATTTTTTTAATAGATAGGGGATTACAAGTGGAGAGATCACTGATCAGCTCATCGAACAGTTCAGGTGTGAACTGAAAGGCTGACATGAGGAGGGATGGCAGGCCTTGGTGGACCGAGGGAATGATGTTTTGGGAAAGTAAGTCTTTCCTTGGCCTCAAGTTCACAGGCCAGTGGAAAGGGAATTGAGTGATATCAGCAGTTGCAAACATGAGCTCACACACCAATCATAAGAACGTGAGTAATAGTATCCTCTATTTTGCCCTCACAACAACCCCATGAGAGCTAACAAACTAATTTTATAAAAGAGAAACTGAGATCTAAACAGGTCAAATCAATGAAAACATATCTAGGTGTCAAAGCTAAATCTTCTAACTCCAATTTGTGCCCCTGATTTTGGAGTGATAATGGATACTTTTTATTGTTTGTAATCCTATCTAAGATTTGCAATGAAAAAATTTTTTTCCTGGATTAAAAAACAAATTATATACTCTCTCTCTCTCTCTCTCTCTCTCTCTCTCTCTCTATATATATATATATATATATATATATATAGTATATGGTATTTTTGGAATCATACTGTAAATTAGAGGATATTAACCATAATTTCATAGGTACTCAAAAAGAGATCAGAAGTGTACTTATCCAAGCTGGATAACTTTTAGTGGTGTTCAGTTACTCTCCTGGATTAGCAACCTGACTTCTTAGTGTTCTAGAAACCCAAAGTGAAGATTATCTTACTTCCTGATCACTAACCAGACACTGACTTAACAATGTCTACACACGACAATGTGACTTAAGCACACGTAGTGTTAGTTGTACTCTGTGTATGGAGGAAATAATGATGATAATATTTTCAGTGGCTCTTTTCCTAAATTACCAACCTATGTTTAGAAGAGTGATTATATTTTGAGGAACGCTTATCTAACAGCATGAGGGCTAATTGCTCTTATTCATTTAGTATACAGCTCTTCCTACATCATTATGATTTGCAAACATTTGTTAGAACTTAGAGCACTAGGCCCATTTGACTATATGTCATTTGCAAGGAGGGAGGATCTCAGAGTCAAGTGTGAATCAGTAACTCTGAATCAAGACCAAAAGGTGTAAAAGGACTGAACCAAAAATCAGTCTGTAGACTAGGCCTGGATGCGGGGTTGCAGTCACAGTGCAGCATCATTGAACCCATTAAACTCCAGAGGTTTGTAGTCTTTGAACTCTTAAGGTGATCACTGATCAATTAGCAAGGCCCAAGAGGGATGGGGGGAAGTTGGAAGGCTGCCTCCAGCTCTCTAAAGAGAGGCATTTGGCAAAGAAAACAAGGCCAGAGGCATAAATTAAAAGCAAACTCAAAAATTCTAAGCAGACTGTGATAATCTCAAAGATATGAGACGCCAAAGCCACAGACTTGTTATTGTACTTGTCATGAAGCAATAAATACTTTGAAATTGAATATACATCCCCCTTTTAAGGGAAGACTCCATCAGGTCAGAGCAAAGGCTAAGCAAGTCCAAGTGTGACACAGTTATGATTCACTGTCAAGAGTGGATTATGCAGAACAGTAGTTTCTTTAGTCATGACATTTGAAGCAGTCGAAGTAAACATTTTCAAAGTGGTTTCGTAACAAACTGCTGGTGCTATATATTTTTTAATTTCTTCCTAATATGAAGTGGTCAAAGCAGAACTACAGAACAACTTGTTTGTGTGTGAGCTAAAATAATTTTGGCATCATGGTGTAAGAATGATTCCTTCTACAGAGCCTATAAATGGAATAGAGGGACTGCAGAAGATGCCTTCCACAGTGTGTGGGGAATGGAAGAGCTCCTCGGATGTTCTCAGGTCACTTTGATAAGAGGAAGCAATATTTCCTTGTTATAAATGCTACTGCTCTGAGTTAGAAGAAACTCGTTTCTTTCTTGAGATACTTTGTTTACAAATCTGCAGACTTCTGCCTAAGAATAACCCTACTCTGATAGTCACCATTCTGAAACATCGAGAGGAGAGTCCACTTGAGTCTCCAAGTCCACTAAGAAGAACGGATAATTAGGGACCCAGGAATTATTTGTGAATAAATCAAGACCATTCACTGCTCTGATGCTGTTTTATTGCTATGTCATCAGTACTACAGTGGGTCAGTTTATGCATTTGATTGATCATGCCTGTCTCACCATCTTGGGATACAGCTAACAAAAGTCATATGGTTATTTGTAATACACATTTTCTCTTAACAAAAATAGGAAAAAGGTCATCAACAGTATCACAGAATGCCAGCATTCTGGGTCTCTGACACTTCTAACAATTCTTCAGCACACAGCAAATAGCTGGCTGACTAGAAAATTTCTGAAATGTTGTATAAAACAACTGCTTCTATCTCTGAGGTCAGGGATTTGTAGAGATGTTAGAATTTTACCATGAGCATATTTGACTTTCTGAAGGATATATGAAGGAACTGCTAGCCATTCACATCTATTTATAGTCAACTCAGCTCGCACTAGGCTGTTCCATGGTTTGATTGATGTTGGCCTGGTCTCTGACTGAGTGAATACCTTCATCAACCTGAGTTTTATTATAATACTTCGGGTTTTTATTCAAAGACACTATGAAAAATAAACATGTAAAGTTTACCTGACAGTATTATTAGCAATATATTGTTTTCCATTCAGTAGTCTTGGCTGGAAAAGTGAGTGAAAAAATTATTTCTTTGAATTTGGCGCTAGGAAAAGTTTTTGCTTCCTTTAAGGAACTATCAGCCCCTTTTGAAAAATGGCAGTTATGTAACAGGTTGGGGCATTTGGCTACCAAGAGGCTGACTGGTTTAATTTGTTACTCAGTGGTATATGTACTCTTACCTGTATGCTTTTTGCTTGGATTCTATTTTATACTTGGATTCTATTTTTTAAATATTTAAAAAATTTACTGTGCCAGTCTTTCTGAGTTGCTCATATCCCTTGTTCAGTGAAGTGGTGGTATAAGTATATGTCAATACCAAATTAAAAAAGAGAGAGATCAAGTTTGGGAATAAAATAAACAATTCCATGGGATTCCCATGGAATTACTTCCTCCCTTCACAAATCAATGGTACTAGAGTTTCTCTCTTGGGAATTAAGCCTGGAATTCTTTTTTTTTTCTTCTGATTAAATGTACTTTGGGAAAATTAGCTGGAAGCTCTGCCCCAGGGAGATGTCAATGTTAATAAAATTCTAAGAAATTTGCTAACTCACCATTTTCGCCATAATCACAGCATAGTTAGAGTTTTATGTACTAAAGTCTTCCTTTTTTGATAAACTAGAGAATAGAGAACTTGAAAGCATCTGTTGAGCATTTTGCATTTTTCCCCTCTTAATGCATGAGAAGTCTGACCATTTATTTCATCCATAAGTGAAATTATTAGGGAGGGAATCTGAGTCATTCCTGACGGCAAAACTTCAGGTGGTGAAAAATTTTAAGTTCTGGAATGTGTACTATTATTTACATGGTTCAAAATTCAAAAAATACAAAATTATATCTAGGGCAAAGTTCATCTTCAAACCGTGCCCTCCAACTGTCCAGCTCCCTTTCCAAGAAGCAACCAATCTTACCAATTTCTGGTATATCTTTACAGAGGCATTTTATGCTTCTACAAACAAAACACATGTATATATGTATACATACAACTCTATATAATTTCTCCTTTTAATAGAAAATATAACACACTTGCATAATTGTTTCACATTTTTTAAAGTTGTGCCCATAATGTATCTTGGAGATCATTTCACAAAAGTACAAAGAGCTTTCTCATTCTTTTTTCTTTAAGCCTTCATAGGATGACATTTTATGGCCATATCATAATTTACCAGTCTTTTATTAGTGAGTATACCTTTTTCCAATTTTTTGTTACAAACAGTGCTGACATGGACAAGCTTATACACACTTGCCATTTCTCATGTGTGTTGTAAGGTAAATTCTTACAGGTAGACTTACTGGCTCAATGGATATGTGCCTTTGTAATTTTTTTTTAGGTATTGTGAATTGCCCTGGACAGATGTCATTCTAATTTACATTCATATCTGCGTTGTGACTGCCTGTTTCTCCACCCTTTTGCCAACACATGGTGGTTACCAAACTTTCTAAACTTTGTCAATCTGATAAGTGGAAAAATGATTTCTCAATGTAGTTTTAACTTGCATCTTTCTAATGGAAAAAAAATCTGGAAACTTTTTTTTTTTTTTTAGTTCTTTTGTTCCTGGAGTCTGCAGCAGGTCAACATTAGAGTTCAGAGATCGAGAACATGGCAACCTGCCCAGAACCAAGATGGAAGAAAAACTCAGCAGGCCCCATTTCAAGCATATTTGCCTTGACGGAGTCTTAGATAATGTCCCTACAAGGTAACTTCTGTATTTATGCGAATGAAATTAGAAGCTAAGTTTCAGATTCCCTAATGGTGGCAAAAGTTGCCTCTAAATACTAAGGAGAGGTTTGGGTTATTTTTCCCCCCTTCAATCTATACCATGGAAAAATGAAGTAAAACAGGTTCTATATTTATAGATATAACTAAGCCACGCAATAGAACTGTGGTAGAGGGGTTGGACCAAGTCACGTGGGTCACCTGAGGGTTATAAAGATTAAATGATATGTTTAACACTAGGAGCATTCTGCTCTGGGAAGAGGCATGGTGCTAATTAGCATATTTGCCTCATGACTTGCAGAAACAATGTCAGTGCTTTGTTTTGTTTTGTGTTTTGGTGCTTTCACATAAGGGAGAACCATTCAATGTTTAATGCTGCATCTCTTTAAAAATAATCACAAACAATTGTCCTCATGTAATGAAATAAAAAGAAAAGATTAGGAGTTAGGTCTGCTGGGTTGGGTTTGCACTTGCCCCTCTCTAGTTTTGACCTTACGCAAGTCACACGTGACCTTTCTGAGATTCTATTTCCTCACTTGAAAAATGGAGGTAATAATCTTACCTGTATACCTCTGGGTCTAGATGAGGAAGTAATGGAACATTGTGCACATGAAAAGCCTTTACAACTGTAAGTGGCAATATACCTGTTAGTTGATCTGATATTGGTAGTATATAAAACTTTGTCAGTTACAACATCCTCGGCTTAATTCTCAGAAAAAAGCTTACTTCTCTTTAAAAGCTTTTAGCAAATCCAAACCAGGTAATTAAACATTAAAAAAAATTGGACTCAGGTTGCCTGACATTTAATGGTTCAATAATGTTATGTCTCTCAAAGGTGGACTAGCAGCTTTGCAAAACGTTTGTATTAAAAGTATGTCTATAGAAGAAAATATTTTATATGCCTAATAGACAGCTACGATTGCAATTTGTTCAGTTTAGCAGAGGAAGGACTTAATTTGTGTTTAGAGAAAAGTGGGTCGGGCCTCGTTTCTCTCTCTGGTGGTCGTCTCCTTTCCACTTTGTATTCGCAGATCTAACAGCTGGAGCTCATTTCTTTAACCTTTAATAGGTGTTTGCTAGTAAACCTCTTAGAAGCAGGAAGGTAACACAGCGCGGGAGTCGGACACTAAAGAAACAATCACCGGTTCCTTACAAACCTCCGCCCAGAGAATTCTGGCACCTTCCCACTCCCTGCCCCCACCCTGGTCCGCCCTTACGGCCCTGCCCAACGGCTAGGCTTACGAGAAGCCAGAAAGCGCTCGCGGAGAACACAGGTGGCTAGAGGGGAGGAGGAGGCAGATCCACTCGGCAGCCGGCCAGGTTTGGGGCCCCAGCTCTAGGCACTGCCGAGCTCCGGTTTCCCGCAGAGACCTCTGTGGTCTGGGACGTGCGGGTCAGCCAGGTGCGCAGGCTGCAGCCCGGAGCGCCCAGTCGCACGTGGCAACAGGTGCATAGCAGCCCGGGGCAAGCGCCCGGGGCGTGGGGCGGGTCGGCACTTAGCCCGCGAGCGCGCGCAGCTTCGGGATCGGGATCCGCGCGCGCGAGGAGAGGGAGCCGACGGGCGAGCAGCGCACGAGCGGAGGGCGGCGGGAGCCTCGGGGGCTGGCGTCCCGAGGTACAGCGTCGCGCGTCTTTCAAGTTTCTGCGGGCGCAGCCCCCCGGCCGCCCCCTGGCCTTTGTCCCCCGCTGCGAGGCGCAGGCTGGGGCCGCCAGTCAGGGGCGGCGGCGGGCGAGGGGGGCAAAGGCGGCCCAGCTTTGCTATTTACAAGTTGAATCCACCAC